GTTGACGAAAAACTACTTCGAAGTTAGACAACCGAAATTATAGATCAGCACATATCTCAAGTGAAACTCTTTGTACATCTACAGATCGTTGGCTTCATTAATGTATTAGTGTTGCACAACAGATCGCCATAATAGAGCTATGCCCCTACCTGACCGCTTATGATGAGACCTTACTAGTCGAAAAGCTGATACGCAGAACTGCTTGATCTAGTTTCGGTATAATCTCTCCTCTTCTTTCTCTAAAGGGGCCAGCTTACTTTTGAGTTGATGTTATCCTATCATATGATTATACTATCGTAAGTAATAGTTGGGCAATTCTATTGCCTGCCACTGTTAAGTTGCATTAACTGTTTAGTTTATGTCACCGTAGTATATTACTTGTTGTTGAATGAATCTTACAAAAACCTCTTGTTATCTATGCATGTGATTTATTCTATTCTGTTTATGTAGCATTATGCCAAGGATTACATAGCGATTGTTGACATTTGTTCAATAATCATCGTGTCTTCGATGTAGATTGTCGAAACAATATCAACTTCCTCCCCACCGGAAGTGACGTCACTGATGGTATCCGATCCAACATTTGTCTTTCGTTGACTATCGCAAACATGACCGCGACTATCCTCACCACGATCAGCAACATTCCCCCTCTGTGTACCATCATCAAGCCACAGCTGCCACAGTGCCAACAACACTGCCACGAATCGTACTAATGGTAACCGCCATTTACCGCTGCTATTTCTGCCACCAAGTGCCCACCTTGACGACGGCCCTGACGGGGAGTCAACTCAAATAGCTCGGACGATCCTGTCCTCTAGGCTTTGCGCAATATTGTATTGTCAATTGACTCAGACGACGAAGCATAAGGCGTTCATCTACCGGCTGCTATTGAGTTTAGTTGTTGACATGATGACACGTCGGCATCTTGGCTACTGTCGTCGACGTTGATGCTTATGGTAGTTAGGATGATGATGATTTCGGCAACGGTGCTTCAGATTCGCCGGCGTAATTGTCACCAGCTGCCGCTCCGAGTAAAGCTATCGAAGTAGGGTTAGTTAGGTTCCGCCTGCCCGGGCAGGAGGGAACATCGGAACGTACAAACAATCAATCAGATGAAGTGTTACATAGGGTGATGTTACATAGGGTGTTTATTTTTATTAGGAACAGATCAGGACACGCAACGTAGGATTACGACAATCGGAAAATTTTCGAACGAAACTTAAACTATTCATTGGGTCGAAGGCTATCGCAGTATGTCTTTGCTAGGTAATCGAGTACTCAGAGTAAGCAAAATATCACCTAAACGTAATGTTATAGTGACTGCAATAACATACAGACTATCAAAGTACGTGGTCTCCGAAGTCTGCAAGGACTATTGATGATGATTTAAATACCTAGCGTTCATCGTTGAGCTGGAACCATGCTGACAGGACGTTAAGAATGCAACTCATTGAAGCTGTAGAAAGCCATTGTGCTCTGCCGCAAAAACGAATCGTCTCAATCGAGTTTGTCTCTTGTTCTAGATCTGAGCGAGAGCGTGCGATTCCATGTAAAAGTAGACTCATCTAGCCTTTGAACGGACTACACATTTTTAGCTTGTTGTTATGTTCTCGGCATTCACGAATATTGCTTTTTTATAACATTTGCGGTACCCCCGTGTTGCAGATGAGTTTTGTTTTCAAGTCAGGTTTGCCTTTCTTTCAAAAACTGTATCCGAAGTGGAAAAGTGCGCCTGCGTGCGATAATGTATGTATGTATGCAGAAAATCGTTCGACATTTAAATTGCCGATTTGACCGTAGATAGTTTAAGGCAACCATAGTAGGTAAAAAAGAAATTTACCAAATTAAAAAAAAACATTAAATTTGAATAAACCGTAATTGTTTTGATGAGACGTGATAGAAATTAAAATAGGTTAGGTCACATGTGACTCGGTATGCTGATCTTTGTGAGAATTCTGATCTGACTAGTATTACATTGGGTTTATTCTTATTCAAGCTAGACTTTATATTTCATTTATGGTCAATATAAGGGCTGCCGAAATTCGTCCTCAACCGTTCATTCATCCGAGGCTGCGGTTTCGTTGTATGTCCTGCTGCATGTTTGATATAAGGCACGATGGACGCGTAATAAGTGATCACGTTGAGACCAAACGCGCTATTAACGCCTTTTTAGTCAAAGCACACACTTGAAGCATTTGTATGTGACGCATCCGGTGAAAGTAACGCCATCTGCTTGGCCGCGAACGAACTCGACGGCGGGCTAACGCGGAAGCGCCCGTAAAATCGATCCGCTATCATTACAGAAGCTTACATTGCATCACGATCAGTTCGACAACCATATTTAGGCTTTCCCACATTAACTGATTAGGCGAAAAGGCAGAGCGTGACGTGTACCACTGAGCACGGCCATCCAATGGCATCTTGCACTTACTGATCTGCTTCAGACTCAGACCGAGAACATGATTTTATGCCATGGAAGGGCACCATATAAATGCACACGTGCACGCCCATCAGCACATACGTCTACATGGGACCTATACAACTAGTCGTAACTAAAAATACGTAACAGGTACAATGAATATAATTGATACGGAGATCGCTATAGATTAAAGCGTATACGTGTGAACCGTTTGTATTGTCGACTCAGCCGGTCTCCGATTCACCGCAGAAAACGAATAACAATCAGAATTTTTTAGCATCTATTTTACTGGATGAGAAACAATTGTTTTTTTGCCAAGGCACTAATTGCCACTACTAATGCTGAATTGAAATTCTGCCACTGAGTTGCAATAAGTGAGATCCGTTTGCTACAAAAGTGTCTATAGTTATTAATGATTTTGACTCGAGGTGTAAATGGGGTGCTGTACAATATCAGTGCGATTAGGGACGCAGGGAACGTCTCGCGATTTATCTAGATAGAGTATCACTAGCTGGCGACAATTCGTAGCTGAATCAGTTTTCGTGCCATTAGGCTTACGTTAAACAAACAACAAAGGTATTCGTACCTCTTCTGAAGACAACAATCATTTTGCGCAACTATACGTGTGATAGAAACACAAAAGCTTCCTACTAAATCGTCTGAGAAGGTTCTTCTGAGAGTAAAATCGCCGACTCGGGATTTACGTTTCTGTGCCTTGTGAACACACTGACCATTGAGTGACTCGAGCACAGTGCGTTTTTGTTTTTTTTTTTCTTTTTATAATAAAATCAGGAGCAAGTATGACAAGGGTTACTTTTTCTCAAACTGTATTCAAATTAGTTTTAAATGTGTGTAGCTCTTGACGACAATCTTCAACTTCATGGCGCAATGGCTCCTATTTATCTTTTTCCATCTGGAGATAGATAGACGTGTCTTGAGTAGTCGCCGTATTATTTACGCAATGTTTCAGTCCTGCGACGATATGCATATTGAGCAGGTGCAATTTAAATTAGGTTCATCACCAACTGGGTTATGGCGGGCACCATCATTCCTCTCTATTTTGAGTTCTCGCCGCTCCTCGAAAAGCAAGACGTTTCATTGAAAACAAATAATGATAAATTTCTAAACAGTAATAAAAAAGCGCTTTGTTATTTGACGGCAGGTGATCAGGCAGAGATGAAGACAAAATGAACATTATCGTGTTTAACAACGAACATACATCAACGTCTATCATAGCCGATGGGGGATTTGGACTTCTGACGTGAACCTGCACTGAGATACAATATAGATACATTAAAAAAAAGTTACTTTTATTAACTGTATGCTTACAGCAGCGGCTTTTTTACGTTTAATATAACTATATAAAAAAGAATTAGCCGATTAAATCACTGCGAATTTCTTGCTTATTTTATCCGATAGTTAGAGTGTTTATGCGCTGAATTAACGCAATAAAGCCAATGAGTTTTGGGATCAGGCGCGTTCGCTGCAAGTACTTCTAAACCATTTAAGTACTGCTAACTGAGTCTTCGTTCGTTGTCGCTAGAATGAACGGGGGAACTTGACGGTTGGCGTGATAATGATATTCCTGAAAAAACAATCATAGGCATATAAATACTAAACTTATAATATTGTTTTTCTAATGGCAGCGTTCTCAGAATACAGCCATTGATGACGTTCATCGGCGTGACGTTGTCGGCGGCCAATTTCTATTCTATGCTCAAAGATGACGTCAAGGTAGATACATATTAAAAAAATATTTGTTACAGCCTGCTGAGTTTCCCAAGATATTTCTAGGCATTCGAAATAGCTTACATCGAACGAGCCAATATACGTCCTGAAGCAAAAGTAGAGCTGGCTTCCATTAACCAAATTAATTATTATCATTAATAATTCCATTAACCTAGCGGACTTAATGGAACGAGCATCGCTGTACACAATGGTACAGCATATTAAAATGCAGATCCATCTAGAGACAATATGATATACATTACAGCTTCGGATCGTTCAAATATCGTTGGAGTCCTACTGTGACAGGCAGGGTCGGAGGAATCTTCAGCTCGATATGGGAGATATCTTGAAAGATCTTCAATTCGTGTGTTATTATTTTATTGGTTATTCCATATATATATATATATATATATATATATATATATATATATATATATAAAATATTTCATTCCTTGCATCTTATTTGTTAAAATGAAAAAAACTGTTTTCAAACATTGTATTCACTAAACCCACCGTTAACGCAATAGAATTTTATTCGATGCATATATGTACAGTTGTATACGGGCGAAAAAAAACGTGAATTTTCATTAGAACAAAACATTTTATGTAAATTGAAATATTATTATATATGAAATATTACTAAACAGAAAGACAAATAAACCCTTCAGCGATATAACTAAATACTATTCTGTTAGCTTTGTACGAATTCTTCTTTTTGTCAAACTCATCAAATAACGTGCAAGATCTTGTGAAGACCCTGAACACAGTTCGATCATAATTTCCATTGATTGATTGCGTTCAGCAATATAATAACCGACTTTTATCTTTGCTTAATTTTATTGTACTATTTCAGTATGTGGACGAACTTATATGCGAGACGCTAAAGTCGTTGGAGGTGTATCCGCTAAATTTGGCCATCAACCTTGGCAGGTTGGTGAAACGGAACAGCCATAAACCTTATTTAATTCATTAGCTTACATTTTATTTATTTTTTATTACATTTTTACATATTACCTGCTTATCTTCTGCTTCCCGAGTCCACGCACGTGAAACGGTGTTGTGTTTATGAATCATAGCTTATGAAAATCCCGTTTAGCACAAACTCAAACAATTCCGTGACCTGCCTTTGAGGGTATAACCCCTACACACACCGGTCAAAATAGTCCGACTCTGGACAGCAACGTTTGACTACGCAGCTTCTACGATCTAGAAGCAACATGGTAGAAGCAGTCATATTTTCCACTTAGCTAACTAATGTAAATTAACAACCTAATTATAAACATTGGCATATTAAATAAAATTTTCAAAAAAAAAATATTCAACGCTATTGTCCCTAAGAACGTGGTCACTTTTCCTAAAAATGTTCGATATTACCCGTAATTTTCTCGCACGTAATCATAAAGCGTGGATCCGTTGTGGCCTTCTGGTTTACCTTAAATGAATATTTTTAGTTTATCTATACTCAACGTATTTCTATGATTAGATGATATGCGATCGGAACGTTAAGTAAATGAACAGCTAGTTCCTGATTTTTCAACTTCGAACCTATATATCTAGACAATATGTATAATTTATAATATGCCCATCTAAGAACCTAACCGAAAAGCTTTATTCAAATTTTAGGCGGCCATAGTAAAACGGAGTTTCTTGTCACAGAAAATATCATGTGGAGGTGCTCTGATTAATGATAAATGGGTTCTTACGGCCGCGCATTGCGTAGACAGGTGAGATCTATCTCGAAAACTGTTTACTCAGGTGCAATAAACATATTTACAGCGACGCAAAGCTAGAGCAGAACTCAGTTCTCTATTGTTACTATTATTATATTTACATACGACCTAAAAAACGCGTATTTATAGATTAGCGTATAAATCAAGAAATGCATATAAAAATATTGTAAGATGTTTTTTTTTTTCTGTGCTGGTTCGAGTTATAAAAGCTTTGAGATGCATGTGGCTTGCTACTGTATTATTATTGGATATAAATTTTTTTGGCCACTTTTTACGCGTTTTCAGTGAGAATCAAACATCTTCATTTTGCGTTGACTTATAAAAACTTCGTGTAATGCCTGTATGTATATGTGTTTGAACGGAGCGAGATCGTGCTGCTTGCGATGTCAGAGAACTAGCAAAAGACCAAAGGACATTATAGCATCCAATTGGGACATCTTAATAAAAACATAGGTCGGATTATTATACTGACTAGCACTGATGAAAGACGAAGCCATGTTTGGTAGACAAAAAAAATAACAGAACAGGTCCATCAAGTTTCTCGCTTCATAGAGGGAACATCATAGGGAGATCCAGAACAGAGATCCTGTCTTTTGATTGATTGAATAATTTTATTGTGAGTGGCTTTAAGATGAACATGATACTGTTTTTGTGATAAATATGCTTCGAATTACAGAGTAAAAGGCCTACTGAGTTAGAATTTGTGGGTAGTCACAGAATCTTTAAGGGTATGCGACGGGTTGTTCAGGAAAGCATGAGCTGCATGCGGGTACCAAGGCAGATCTGTTTGTGCAATGGAATCCGTTTGTGATATGAAAGTTAAAAGAAAGAGTAATTAGAAAAGTTAAACTACATTAGTAGTGTGAAGGTTTGTTTCAGCGAATTCGAGCAGAATTGTGTTGATGAAGCATGACAAATGGCTCACTGTTTTTTTAATTCTAAAGCTATCTGAAAATAGGACACCGATTATTTTAGGACAGAAAGGCTCCAGTTCTAGCTATAATATGATTTTAGTACTCCGAAAGCAGTCCAGAGCACATAGGGGTGCAGTGATAGTTTTCAAACTGTGGATTAAGCAGTGCCAACAAACTTATACTTTAAAATGGCGAATTTATGCTGTCACTGTTTCTGTAGAATAAATGTTTAGTGTCTATATCTATCTATACTCTACAAACTAAGTACATACGATCAACGATCGTTCAGCAATTTCTATCACGTATGAAGTTCTAACAGGTTAAGTTGCACAGAAAATACAAAAGAAGCCACATATGTCTGCCAAGACAACAAGGTCTCCTTTGAAGTCTATTTCTCGTTGATAGACTAACCATCGTTGTGCATCAACCCCATACTTTGTTGCTAAATGACATATTCGGTATTGAAATGCAATGTTACTCGTATGCCAATTTTTAAACTCGCTAGGGCATGTGCGTCGACGATTAACAACAAAGGCGCATATCCGTGTAATTGTTTACAGAACGCCAGCATCAAACCTGCGTGTGCGTCTGGGTGAGCACAATATCCGCGACACGACTGAACGTTATCCTCACGAAGAATACACGGTCCGGCGAAAGATTGTTAACGAAGGATTCGATAGGCGGAATTTCGTCAACGACATCGCTTTGTTAGAATTGGCTCAGCCGGTTATCTACCGAGAGCACATAATTCCCATCTGTCTTCCGGAAAAAGGAGCAAATTTTACGGGTGAGCTGGCCACCGTGGCAGGCTGGGGTCGAGTAAAGTACGGCCAATCGTATATGCCCAGCTCATTGCAGAAGGTCGACGTTCAGGTTTGTAATTCACAACTCTATATTGATAAGACACGGCTTATTTGTTGATTTAAGCATAAGTTTTTAATAATAGTCAAGAAGAGATTTTATAAGAACAACATTCTTGGACTAGGGTACACTAGTACTTATTGCGCCTCATTGTTCGAATGCGCCGTCGTCGTTCTTAATTCTATGGATACAGATAAGTACAGATAGTTGCAAGAAAAAACTAATCTCACTTATTTTAGGAAATATATAGAGTCTTAGGTGTTTCCATTCTGTAGTTATGATTGTCCGCTCGTATTTAGATAATTCAATAGGATCGGATAGGATAGGATAGGATAGGATAATAATGCCATTCAATTTCGGATGATGCAGGTGATAGACAACGAGGTCTGTAGATCATGGTTCAAGGAGAAAGGTCGACGAGAACAAATATTTAATACAATGCTTTGCGCCGGCTACAAGGACGGAGGTCGGGATTCCTGTCAAGGAGATTCTGGGGGCCCTCTCGTTCTAAAGAAAAACGGCCGAGCCCAACTTATTGGCCTGGTGTCATGGGGTGTCCAGTGTGCGCTACCTAATTTGCCGGGCGTCTATACAAGGGTGTCTGAGTACGTTGACTGGGTCGAGATTTATATCAATCGTAAAAACAAAGGCGATCTTCTCACTATCAATCCCGCGGTCACCAATACAGCTGTTAGCAAAACTGAACAGCAAAGAGAAAAGGACGTTAAAGCCGCTGATAATGGTGGCGACAAACAGGAGCAATCGTCTAGCTCTTCTGCTATATCAGTAGCCGCCTCAGTACGAAGGAGATAGAGATTCTAATTAGAAAACAGCCATGGAAGACATTCTGTAAGAATCAAGAAATAAACGGGGGCGGGTATCGAGAAAAAGAACGGGGACGAGCGTAGCTTTTTCTGGCAAGAGGTGCCAACGAGCTACCTGTGGTATTTATGAAGTGGATAAAGTAGGATACGTGATAAAAAGCATAGGAGCGTCAGTAAAATAAACTCAGTCAAATTTTGATTACAACGGCGTAACGGGACTTTTAACAGAAAGCAAACCGGGTTACCGAGCCAGGTAAAGGAAACAAGAACAAGCGAATGGAAGATATATTATTGTCAAGTTTTTTTTTATGAGCATTATGTAGAAAATAAACAGTAAAATAATAGTAATAATCATTACTATGAAACTTAGGAATTGTTAAGAATGCACTTACGTACTAAAATGGTTTCTCTTAGCTTTTTTAATACGATTACGCGGGTTATACAACGCGAATTTAAACGATTATGTAAAAGGGCCGGCTGAACAACGAGTGCCTACGAGCTGATTATATACTTCGTAACGGAAATGTTCATAAGAAAAGTGTGAGTTGAGACAAAACTATAATTAAATTTACAAAATCGAGAAAAAAAAATCAAACTTCAGTTCCGATGCGACATTTGTAGTTTGTTCTTATCTGTTGCAGTCGGCCTTATTTGACCAATGGTTCTGTAATTTGCTGACGGTAAAATGTGGCCATGACGATTCTTTTTTTTTTTCAAATAATAGTTACTTGTCTCGCCGAACGGCGCTTTCAACCTTATACTGAAAGATTTATCTCAAAGCAGATATGCGTTACCTAACCTTGTTGGCTCGAGCGAGCGGGATGTGTAAATGACAACCGAAAAACAAAGGAGGCCTCTCAGCTCTTGTACCTTTCGTATCAAGATTTTCGCAATAGCAATAGAGGTGTACAATGTATATTTATATACAAGCACAGACGTATTTAGAATGTAGCAGTAAATACCGAATCGAAGCTGTATAGTTGTATATATGATAAGAAATAAGCTACAGATCAATTTAAACTGAAAGAAAAAGGCACGTGTTGCTCATTATTTCCTTATGTTTGTATATTTTTAAAATGTTTACATATTTATGTTATTTTTTTATTGGCCTGATGGATGTTACCTGATGGAGAACATTCTTCAAATGTAGAGTAATAGATCATTCGTCAGTCGATATCTATTACTCTGCTGTTACCTGAATTATGAGACACTAAGCCATTTGTTGAGTACGGCTGTCGGATATTCGATGTGACGATGACATCTGTTCGGATGGATGGATAGATGAGTGAATGACTAAGTAATTAGTTAACAATGATGGCACTGTTATTCCAAAAACCAGAACGATGTACTTTGGTTAATTTGTCTTTTTTTTTTTTTTTTTTCTATAATTGCGGTACAGGACGAATGAAGGCACTATAAAGTCTTATTTTTTCAAGTCTCTGCCATCCGGCGATATGTTAGCCTCACTAACTTATTCATGTGCTTTCGCGGACGGCTCTCTGTAGGCAGATTACGAAATAATGATCCTTCGTTTACCTTGTGAGGACAAAATGGGTTGGGCAAGGTCCCAAGGAAGAAAAGCATCTAAGGGACTGGAGAAAATGGCATGGCGGCGTTCACTTTCATTATTATTATTATTAACAATAGTGTCGATAAAATCTGTAATAGGAAATATATACTAAAACAACGGCCCATAGATACCTATTGAAGATATGATAATAACTACGCGACGTTTTACTGTATTATGCTTTGTATACAAATGGTTAAAATTGATGACATGTAAAATACTGCGAACTATTATTTGATAATAAATGAAAAAGCCACTAAAGGAGATATATAGCAGTCTTTGTTTATTTATGTTCGAGAAAAATACATTGTTTCAAAGGGCCTGAGCAGGCCAGGGTTTTTCACTACAAAAAAGGCTTTACTATCCACCCTACCACCATTTCTGTTTACGTTCATCAAGCACAGTTACGTATATAAACGGAAGTGAAAATAGACAAAATGCAAAAAAAAAAAACCAAAAGAAGATTGACAGCTATACAAGTATACAATAATTAATGAAATAATTTCTCTTAACAGTGTGGCTCATCGTACAAAATCCTTATTATACATTGTCACGATTAAATTAGTGGAAAAGCAACATTTGCTGTCATGCCTTTCTGAACTCGACTTTAGGTAACATTTATATACGGCGTATGCGTTTCTGGCCTGAGTACTCCCGAATGAAATCACAAGAAACTGGGTATTTTGATCTCTGTGTGCATGCCGATGAGTCCTTGTGTTCACTGACTTGTTTCATCATGAACAGCTGCATTAAACGTTCATACCTATGACGTGATACTGGCTCTCTATTCTACGACACTCTGTTCACGTCCCAGTCGTACGCTCCGCAATAGCCGTTAAGGATTGGAGCCGCTGGAATTCCTCGACGAATCATTCGACAGCGTAGTTCGTCAAGACGAAAAGCCGCATCTTTTGTTTTGTTCACTGAAGCTGCCGACCAGAGTCTCTCACCTACGGCACTCGCGCGGGGCCTGCAATTTACAAGAAGGCAGGTTATAGCTTGCTAAGGCTTTTGCACTTAATTGCCTACCTCTAAATATAGTGATTACAATAGGTATTCTTGATAGCACATGTGCCAGCTCGGAGGTGGCAGGGAAGTGGGGAGCCGTCAAAGCTACCTGTTCGATATACTCGTACTATTTGATAGGGAAGTAATTTTTGATGATGAGTTGTTTATAAAAGATGATTGACTTCTACCCGGTTTCTAAAATCACTCGAGAAAAACTTCTTTGCATATTCTTCTCATTAGAGCCATATAGAACAGGCATTCTCTTCTAGATTTTATCACAGGGTTAAAGAAATATAAAAGTCCCCCCAATTTTTTCTCGCAAGGTCAGACTGTTTCTACCGATATTTCTACCTATAGCAAAACCTTGAAACAAACTATATATATATATATATATATTACCGACCACGGTTTCTTGTAGAAAGCTGATCACCATTCTCTTAATGCCGTACTAATATCAGTGAACTGTTTTAAATTAAACGATTTTTATCCAAAACCTAAGTTTATCAGAGTTTCACGATGTGAAGCATGCGTAAGGGTTACAAAAAAAAAAACATTTCAATTCAACCTACCATAGGCGTGAGATCAAATTCGTTGCGTCAACGTATTCGGTCCACATGCAGGCTTCACCACCGGTAAGTAGGTTTTTTTCGGCTTCAGTACCTTCGAAATCGCTGGGTTCTACTTCGTAGTACTTCTGCCAATCTTGTCCGTAACTACACAGTCAGAACGTCAAATAGTAACTATCTAAGTAAAGAAAATTAAATTCATATATGTGTGCGAGTTAAAGGCACGTATCAATGAATTATAGCATCATTGTCGGCTCTAGAAACGGAACGAATAGGTAGTAATTGTCCTACTATTTCACCACTTTAGAGTTTGGCTTGTAGAAACGGCTGGAGCTTTCCTAAGGGACCGATGCATTCGTCTTTATCATTGTTGAAATTAAACAAGGTGTCCGATAATTGTGATAATGTCCGATAATAAAAGAAAAATTGTGACTTGTTAAGTAATTATATTTTGGAAATGTTTATGTACAGTATACAAAACAACTGGCACTACTATGCCTGTACCTGAAAGATTCCTCTTTGTGATACAAGCTTGCTTGATTATCACTAAAAATGGCAACTGAGTCATTATTAATTAGTAATACATTGAAAATGAATGGCAAAAATATTACCGAACGGTGGACGCCTAAGGCTGAGGTCATTGAATTACCTAAAGTACGTACAGCTTTAAAGGTGGCTTTTTGCTCATCTAGAATAGACAGAGTAATTAAGAGCGTTTCAATTATGCTTATTAAATGCTTTGATTATGTTTAACTTAATACGACAAATACTAAAGGACGATATACCTGATATAGTTGAGATACCAGGGTGCTGAGAGCACAATTTGATAGCCGTGTTTGACCATGTCTTTCATGTAATGTCTCCATGGACGTAGCTTCGAGTCCAGACTGACATCCTTCCAGAGGCCGATCAGAGTATCCGACGCCGCCTTTTTGATAATAATTATCGTCACAATAGTTGAGCTTTCATTTTAAATAGTATTCGACGAAATATGTACTATCTAGTTAATTGGCCTATACGCGTGGCAAAGCAATGTCTTTATGAGCATAGGACAAACCAGAGGTTTAGACCCAGTGGGTGGCGCTCTATAGTTTCGATGTGTAGATCAGTACCATTCTCTAGTCTAAAACTAACTCACCTCCACCCCATTGTCTATGGGGTCCTGCCAGATCATGTACTTAGCACCGAGTTTCCTGACATTATGTAGGGTTGTCCTGACATAATGCTGTTCCACCTGTGACACTTCCTTAAAATTATGTTGTTTCATGAACTCAGCAATTTCAGGGCTCGACTCCCTGAAACGCAATGATAAAAGACATGTTCAGCGATTCCCGTGCACACACGAATCAGCATATTCTTAAGATTTTTTAAATACGCGTGTATAAATGGCCTGTCCTTTTAATCCAGAAAGGCTATTTAGCAGAATTATACAGTTACGTTCACTAAACTTTCCATTGTAACTACGCCAAATGTAGAACGAAACATTAGAAATGATGTTCATCTAATAGGTCCTTCCTTGAGCTCTTGTCTATACACACTTGACACTGACCAGCACTTGTAGTAAACTTCATCCATGCCAAGATGGAGATATTCATCAGGGAAGGTATTAAAAGTTTCATTAAAGATCTCGCGAAGAACGTTGTAAGTGTATTCCTGCGTGGGATTGAGCATTTCATAAGCTGCAAAATCTGGATAGCGAGGTGTTCCACGACCTCCATTACCGTAGCAGGGGGTTAGAAGCGCTGCCAAATAAAACAAAACGCGTAGGGCTGTGAAAATGGACTGGAAAACTTTTTACAAGTTTACAAGCACAAGTAACCACTACACGGCCCGCTATTATTTTGCTTGTCAAAGGGATTCGGGTAAATAGATTGAATAAAGCCGGTCCAATTATGATTCTGTTAAATATCCGCAAATTTCGACTATCTATGTCAGGTCGAATAGATTTTTATTTTACTATGTGTATACGTCTTACGGGATCAACACTATTGATGATAGATCTGTTAGCAGCGTCAGCTGATGTACGCTAGAAACAAAAGCATTGTCCGAACAGCAGTAAAATGGCCATTAGTAATAAAACAGTGTTATTAATATACTGTTTTGTTACTAATGGCTAATATACTGAGTAAAATGTCAATGCAATATTATCCTGCTATATATATATATATATTCGTTTGATCACCTTTGGCCATTTTAATGTATCTCACTGTATATCTACTAAGAAATTGGTCCGTCTAGTTGAATTGCACGTGATATTATATAATCGGGCTGTCTTGGTGACAAACGCTAGAAGACTAAATGTATCGGTTAAGGCGGTAAAATCGGTAAAGGTTAGAGCGCAATATAGCTTTGCGTAAAAAATTGAAGCTTTGAAGCTCTCCAGCATCGTTAAGGCGTTTTCCCAAAGGTGTTTTTATGAACTCTTAATTCTGAAGCAATGAAATTCACTGTGTCAATTGAAGTGGTAATGTAAGCTTTAATATTAATGTTGTTAGGCAAAAAACCATTTAACTTATACTACAATTGATTTGACCGAGATAAATATAAGCAGCTTATTTTCTACTCGATATTTTATATTGATAGCTTAATATACTAATGAAGAAACACACCTGGGAAGATCTTTCCAATGGCCTGAGTGTGACCTGGTGTATCAATCTCAGGAATAATCCTGATGCCTCTTTCACGAGCGTATTCGATCAGATCTCTAATGTCCTGCTGAGAATATACTTGACTCGGATGGTACGCAGCTTGGGTGAGGTTAGGAAAGACCCTCATCTCATAAGGCCACGCCTGATCATCGACAAGATGCCAGTGGAACACATTAAATTTCGACATTGCCATTGCATCCTAACGAAAAAAAAGTTGATAGAAAATACAAGTAAATATACTGGCAAGCGGATAAGGTCAAGACATCGTATTACGGTTAACATTTTTAGAGAGTGTTTTATTTTTAGGACATTAGAAGATTAAAAGAAGCAACTGCGATAGCATGAAACAATTTGCCACTACAAATTAAGAAGTCTAGTCTAAAAATAACACCAAAACCTGGTACTGTGATCTTTGAGCTAAATCTGCAAACTAGACGATTTTAGGTGAGGAAAGCACCGAGAGAGTGCTCCTTGTGAGCCTCTGTATCCTACAACAAAGTAGGTTCATTTTTTTAAAATAAATAATTTTATTCAGTTACTGAGAATATTCAAAATCTGTTTTTGGAAGCAAACATCGGTAATTGTGGGAACGAACGCTCTTTGGCTGCCTATGTACTGTATAATATTGGAACTTATACTAACCATATTTTGTTTGATAATCTTAACTGGTTGGAAGTGTCTCGACGTATCAAGCAAGATTCCTCGAAACTTAAAGCGAGGCCAGTCCTCAATTATTGTTGCGTTAATCAGATACTAAAAGAAACAGCGGCAATGTAAGGAGACTTTATTATTATAATTAAGACAAGTTACGTGTTTACGCATATAAATCCAGCTTTGTACTTTTGCTTTTGTAAATTTTCTACTGATGTTCCATTTACATAAAGAAAAATGTCAGCGTAGTCGGACAAACCCTACCCTGTTGGTTTGGTCCTCGATGTAGACGAGTTGTGAGAACGTCTCGAGCCCACGTAAGGCTCCCCACACAGTGGCTGACTTCAGAATGGCCACACCGGTGCTCTCACTGACGGCTAACGTGTCTGTAGAATTACGAAAACAAACTCAACAAACTAAGCGCATCTCAATTTTTTTTTATTTTAAATCCAATTTTCTTAATTCATTTTAACTACAGAACGAGTTTATAGAGTTCTAGGTATTAGAATCATAATAGGGTCACAGTAATTACTGCCGGAAAAATACATGTGATAGTTCCGTGTAGTTCACTTCGTGCGAAAAAAATAGTTACTTGTCCAGTAAAATTCACTCTATAACTTTTTAGAACTTTCACGATTGTCCCACGAATTGGGGTTAACATACAGTTTTCGTTGCTTTCGTGGCGGGGGTAACCACAGTCTTCGGCTGTATTCCTAAACTCAGTGACCTCAACGTGTAGCACCTTCAGCCTTGGCAAGTTCCCTGGTTTAGGTGACTGCTTCAAAGGGAAAATTACCTTCTTATATCTGCGGATAAAATCGAATATGGTCACACGAAATTGAGCGCTTCGATAGGCAATAACAATGGTAATTAAATTCTCGAAATGAAAAAATTGAGCAGTTGCAGAGTTTGCCGGAGTGCACTAGCCTAAAAATTGTGTCGATCGTATCGAGGAGCTCTTTTTAACTTACATCATATCACAGATACGCCTGGATATTCTCGAAATAGAATACAGATTACCGAAACATTTTACCTTTAAAATATGTATTGCTATAAGCAAAGAATATTGGCCATTTGCCGCTTTGGTCACATTTAAAAGGATCCTATATATAGCAGTAGTGAAGGATATAACAATGACACGGATCGCAGCAGGTACGTCTACACTTAGACTATGATTTCTAATAAACGTCATTCCACTGCTTTGGTATGTAGTAATAATGACAGATCTAATGTCCTGAAATACATTAGGCGGAATGGACAAATCGTTGTGATAGCTGCGTTATTGCCTAAAATTTCTAAAGAACAACGGAAGAATATTCCCACGATAGATCGCGAAATTTTGAGATATGTAGCCAATAATTTGTAAAAAGTGACTCACTTGATTGTCTGCCTATAGACGAGATCTAGCGTACCAATTACGGTAAATGGGGTCTGAACAGATGCAGTTGGCTCTAGTGGCACTGGGGTCCCTGGGCTAGCCGTCAATCGCGTGTACAATGAGATTCTTATATAAAATTTGTTCTTTTTTCTACAAAGTATTGTCGATGATTCGGTTAAATGTGGTTCACTGTATGGGCTTAATTACCTTTTGATCGCCTTCTCGATGACATCACAGCAGATTTCGTCCGAACGAATATCAAATGTGTCTGGATTAATTTGTAACTGTTTAGGTTCAGGTTTGTAAGTTTGCGGCATAGGCCATGGAGAACCGGGCGGTGAGGGGGTACCCTATTGAATGTATTAAAGCATAAACTTCTGTTCAATTTGTTCGTTCAAATGCAGCCTTACGAAACTCAACACTGTTTCTTCCAAGCATGGTATTAACAAGCTGTTTATTAGTGTAACTCAAAACCGAACATTATAGGAAGAGTAGCAATGAGCCTAAGCTATTTTTACAAATAGCCAAGCTACTAGCAGTATTTCTTCTCGTTTACCTTTGTGCTTACTATATATGAATCATGAATAAATAACAACAATTTGCTGATAGCAATGTGCATCAAGGTGTTCCGCTGGCCATCGACTTACCTCGAGCGGCAGACGTACTTCGATATAAGTTATATGCGCACACACGAATGCAATGGCAACTACCCCCAATATTGTCGCCCGCAGTAGTTGCTGTTCCATCTTAGAAAATGAAGTTGATCTCGCTCTGCCCTTTTCCCGTTCGTTCGTTCGTTCGACTCCACACCTTCTTGGCTTCTTTTTCTGTAGGGGGCCGTACCTTGCTATGCACTGTCTACGCACCTGCTTCCGTTCGGCCACTGGCTGATTTCGGACGCTGAAGTAGCGAAGTCCACGATCGAACAGCCATAGGGGCAATGCGCCGACGATTTTCGCGTTGTAGCCATGACACCCGTTTTGAGGGAAAGGAATTCCCCTTTCGACGCGACCACTACCACCGCCATCAGCAGTTTTATATCACCAAAGCTCCTCGTTAATGGTCACCAAAAAAAGAGGCGAGAAAATCTGCTTGAACATATAATTGTTTAATGATAAACAATGCACAATCAGGTGATTGGCTCTAGAATATACGAACCTTGCTAAAATCATTGGAAGAAACGATAGTGGCTTCTAGTCAATATAACTATTATGTTAGAATCACCTCATAAATGAACCATCCATTTTCAAAGTACATCTGATTATTGTGTTTCTGATTCTCAGTCGCCTTGTTGCTCCGCGACTGCCCCCGAGATTATTCCCACTGAAATAGAAATAATTCGAACTAATTTGTAAAATAAGTCTAGACCTAATGACTCTGAGGCCATTTTGTTAAGTATCGGTTCATGAATTTTTATCTTGATAACCGCAATACAAACACAATTTTGTCTGCTTTAGTATTTCGAGCACCGTGCCCTTCTTTAATATTAGCTACGATATCCTGATGCCCTTGAGTCAAGATACATCAATTATTTATAATGCTTTTAGTAGTAACTCGAATAATAAATCAGTTAAACGAATAAATCATAAATAACAAATAATGGTCCTAAAATTTGTATATTGAGGCCCGTTTTTAGAAAAAGTATCACCCGTTAACACATTCTTCGACATGTTAACGTCATAATAGCCTAAATCAGGCCCGTGCGTTTAGTTCGCGAATAAACTTACCGTTTTTTTGTGTTATTTCCATTTAACAGCAAGGTAATACTCTCTTGATTTTTAGTGGCTTTCAGTATTACAATATCCGCCGCTTCCAAAGCCGTAAAAGAAGCGCATCTGATCAAAATGATAAATCTCTCAATTGCATCTCCGTTTTAGCGTCAAATCGTACGAATTATATTTAAACCTCCTTAGCCAATATGTGACTGTGGGCATCTGGGCATACGTACACTTCAAGGCCGCTACCTGATGGAATGTTTAATATATCGATTATACAAAGACAGTTCTGCATCAAAGTAACATAGAAAATACGTAGTCACGTTCATAAAACGTAACTCAAGTATAATGTTTGTACCTATAAATTAGTGGTTTAATTTTGCATTGCATAAATTGTAGCTGTGTGACAAGCTGCCTGCTGGACGAGCCTGGTTGGCAACTACATAGCTAGTTGGTACAGGGGGGCGCCATTTAAATTTCGGTAAACTATTTGTGGCCACGAGCATCGCCAATCCGCCATTCCTGATACCATAACAAAACCAGTTCCTTCTGTTACAGAACAACAAGCTTATCAGGACGACCGACCATTTGAGCGAGGGCCAGCAATTGTATGCTGAACGAGCCCCCAAAGAAACTACAGACCTCTTAGGCACCCCAAATCGACAGTGTACCGCGTCGCAAATGAATATTGGTAACTGTAGGAGAAGCAGACAAAATTGATCTCTACTGTCCTAAAATAGATTTCTAATGGTCTTTCTTTTTAGTCAGATCAGGGCGTTAGTGAGGAAATTTGATGTTAATGAGCATACGATGCTCAGGAAGACCTCAAATACATGTCGTATGTCAGAAAAATCAGACAGATGCTCTCTGAGATCTATAAAATCAAGAGATTTACCCGAAGTTATTTGCTTCCCAATCGATGAAGCGATAGGCCTTGCTTTTCCTTTTATTTTTATTGTGGAAATGCTTCTTTTATGCATAGAAGCCAATTCTCAGCCGGATCTTGATGTTCTTTGCCATGTCCTCAGTGTGATGTCCAGTGAAGGAAGTATCACCATCCTGCTTCCTGAAAGACGAACGTATCTCTAAGGGGCTTATCCGAATGCCCTCTAATAGGCTGATGCCATCGTTGATAGCTCCAGTGTTTGAAAAAGCCCATGCGCCTCTCAACAAGATATTGCTCCAGCTCGTACAAGGCGATTTGTGCGGGATCGATGGTTCGAAAATAGAAGCATCTTGTTCAATGAATATGCACGACCGCCAAAAAGTCCAGCTTTGAACCAGTTTAGTCATTATGTCTCTCTTGAATGAGAACCCAACAAGTCTTAACATAGCAACGTTGACCCGCTCACTCGTGCCTGAAGGCGTTCGCAGAATTGCGAGGAGAACATTCGAAACAAGCGTATGAGTGGTTTAAAACCCGAATTGAAGCTGACATCACGATTAATGGTAGTTATATTGGAAACATGATTATCAGGGACTACATTTCCAGCACATAAAATATTATGAAAATGTCGTTGAAACAACTGTTTTGACTTAGGCACAGTCTTAAAGGCAAAGCACATTAAAAAAAAGTCGTAGTTTATTCGAAGTACTTTGTAACCCAAGCCTGGCCCACAATATCTATCTAATCAAACTACCTATACATCCACCTCTTTTACTACGCTAGATTTTAGGATTTTAGGTTAGATTTACGGAGATTACGTAATAGCTTCATTAAATAGTTTTCAAGTGGTTAAGACGCCAATGAGTCTTTCCACAAGCAAGTTGAACTATCATTGTATAGGAAATAACGTCTTTTAGGTTTAGACTACTTTTTCTTGTTGGCATTTAGAACGAATCTACAAAAGCTTTTGTAGAAAAAAAGGATAAAATAGAACCAATTTTCGGTAGTAAACGATTAGATAAGCGAATACGTTAATTTTCGGCTCGGACGAGTAATCTCCATTTATCAATCTGAGTTGCTGTACATGTACAGTCACCATAGATGATCCCATCAGCTTCCGCAAAAAGATTTAGCTCACTTTGTTATATATCACTGTTCCCTTCTCTATTGCAATATGTCGACGCAAAAAGAATCGCTAGACGTTAATGTTAAACACGGACACGGCATCATCATTTACGTACATCGCATGCAAATGTGTACACCTTGACAAAATTTATGTATATTTTGGAAATAGTGTAGTAGTGCTAAGTTATATCTCGCTTTTGATACGCTATAAAATATTGATATAAGCGATAATCCATCATAGAATTGTCTTGCAAACATCGATACCCAATAGCGAAAATGGCCACTCTTTTGAACGGACCAATAAATCTATTTCGATTATAGCTTTAGTACGTATAAATGTACCTTTTTGGATAGTGTCGCTCGCTTTATAGAACGTAACCGAAACAACACAATTTGTCGCAGTCGTCACATTGTTTGTCAGTAGAGAATAAACGTAACATATGTGTACAGTAAATCCATCTACATAATCTATGTCTATAGATAAATACCCAGCTATTTATTTCGACACGTTCTTCTCCGATTTGTACGGATCATTAACGAGGCTAAGTAAGCTGTTGCATGTATAGTGGAGTAGATTTGTAAATAGACTGACCGAGTGTTTCATATATCAGAGACACAGTTGTGCCCTTGGCAGGTTCGCCTGACATAATCTACTTGTAAAAAAAAGTTACTCAGGCCATATCGAGTGCACATACGTGCCGTAACGCAGATTAGCGGCAATAGTACCATCAGTAAATACTCGAGTTTAGCAAAAATTAAGCTAAGTGGGATTGTATACAGATAAGGTTAGAACGTTGGAACTGTTGTCTTCAATTACAGTTCGGGATAATATACTATAGATGCATAGGGACACATGGGGTTTGAAATCGAGCGCCGATACATGTTTGTTTCGAGGGCTGAAAAACGCCGTTCGCGACGCCAGCTGTAGTGGCAGGCACATATTTCATTTGGATCATATAGTAAATGTAGCCTATCAAATTCGGTTGAAGTACACGAGCGAAGGAGTATCACAAAACATAGAACGCATTTGTTCGAAAGTTCCTTAAGGCGCTTTCGCATCGTCACGGAGCTCTCCGTTATACAGTTAAGATTAATTTCCCTGGGCAGAAGCGTTGCCCTTTTTTAACAGGTAATAGAAGACCCGCACAGCTGCAAGGCATAAACGGCGACTGGTTAACCGTGAATGGGATGAAGCAGAAGAGCGCATTTATTACCAAACAGCATAGCCCTTATTGATTTGGCCATTAGTACAATAAAAAGATATGGTTCGTCTCATAATGAAGACATTCTAGGTTCGATAAGGCCAATAACTGTGCGCCCGATGCCATAGCACACAACACAAGCACCTCTTGATTTTTACCCTAACGGGTCCACTGAAAGAAGCATCACCCCATACAGGTGTGTCGCTATTATTACCTAGCCATTGATTTCAGTCAACGCACCAGTGTCCCTCATAGAAAATAATTCTTTACAAACTTGGGGTGCCCAACAGCGACGATGATATTTACTATTCAATTATTCTACGTTGGTCAAAGGCCAATAGAGGGATCTATCATATTATGTTTTCATTGTTTCTGAAACAGTTTAGAGTAAGCTACATCGTACAGCTTACTTATTGGTGTCAGCACAAGGGACCCCCTAGAGACAATTATACGAACTATTTCTACACCCTGTCTTTTTTAGAACTTTCAGTCGATACAGGCATCCGATTTGCAAAATTATAGTCAACTAAAAAAAACTCCGCAGAAAAAAAGCAACGTATTACATATATGGCAGATTGAAGGATCTTCTGAAGCTATAACAAGGTAAAATGGCTAGTTTAGTGTCAGGCCTACCGGCCTTAAAATACTGTTAACTGTTGACACCGATATTAAAATTGTTCTACCATAAGTAGAGTTACGTTTATGGCCTTTACTTTTATATAGGTATAGAATCGTGGTAACCCTTTTTTTAACCACTAATTTTATTGCTTTAGACTGTTTTGTTTATTTGGGAATTTCAACAGAGTGGCCCCGGTTTTATTAGAACCAATTATATGTGCTATATGTGTATCTGGCACATGTGGGTCTACATGTGCCAGATATAACCCCAAAGCATCAGCTCTCATTGCGTCACAAACTATGCTATCATTTTTAGTCTTCAGCACAGTAAAAGTGTTCGTAAAATTCGATAATTGAGTTATTTTTAGAAATCTGCCTCCGAATGACTACTTTTGCTCCTTATATATTAATTAGCGACTATATTATATATTACATATTAACTATTGAGTATAATATGATAAGTACTTCCGAGCGACTTTAGCAGCCGGGCGAGTCAGATAGATAAAGTTTATGAGCAGAAAGAAGATCGGTCATTTAAGAATCATCAGAGCTATTTATTCTAATAACAACGACTAGCCAATGAATAGGGAAGCATTTGTTTTATTACCACTTGAGCCGCTATTAAAGGTGTGCATACGGGGGATCGAAGGCTTAGTTTAATTGAATCAGGTCATTGTATCGCATAATGTATTAAACAATTACGAATATGTAAGGACACTAGTCTGCTCGCGGTTTAGGGCCCTCTCAAGTAAAAGAAATTCATTTTACGTAAAATAAAAAAGTTTTACCGATACAGAAATTAAGCAAATAGAACGGAAGTCACCGTATGGCTAGAGAATCAGGTGGCATAATCTTGAAGAAGAAATGCTGGAATTCTGGATTCCATGAGATTTCCTTAACAGCATTCCAAAGAAATAAGGTTTGGCCTTCAACATGTATGATCGCATCTTCTTTGTAAGGTACTCAGAAAAAAATACGATAGTTCGAAGGTCAGACATACCTATTTAAAATATATGTCTACGCATCCTTCTAGTAAGCGGTGCACCACTGTGCCAGTTCTGAATCTTCAATGAATTGTAGTTCGCTGGCACTTAGATTGAGTGGTGTAGTCATGACCGCCGAAGCACAGATCGTGTACGGTGGCAAGCGGACTCTAATTCTGTTGCCTCTTTATTCTGGCAGCATCAGAACCGAACGGACCAGCTGATTCGAGTTGGCCTATTCACAGGTTTTCCTACAGGCTAAATACTGTGTAAGCAAAGATTATTTTTTCTACAAGTTACATACAACATGTAAATACACCTGCGTACATGTGTTTTCCAAACATCGTGTAATCACTAGTATAGGCTAAGTACTGTTTTCCGTTTTGATAGTAATGTCTAATTATTGAAATTCTTACCACGATATGTTTTATATCAACAACTAGAGTAACACAGAGATGGCCTGGTTCGGGATAACCCTCAGTTCAGAGAAAAATGCACGGTCACCATAAGGTGCATATTCGATGACCATATATGGTGGTTTGTTATAGCCAGTTTTTTCTTTACACAAAATTAGAAAATTTAAGCCGTTTTATCCTAATAATATGATAAATTTCTAACGTACGTTATTCGATGAGGAGCGGTGTACCTGCTAACGGGCAGGCAACATAACTAAACATTTCGAGGAGTAAATACCTACGGTCCTTTTTTAAAAAATTAACGTTTGGATAAAAAAAATAACGTATGAAAAGATGGCTCGTTTTCTTAACAAACCTGTAAGCCGGGATATCAACGAAATCGGCATAGAAGCGAAGGAGTTGGTGGTTTTTCAATCAATGTGGCTCTACCCACTCTCTGTTCTATGAGAACTCCGAATTATGCTTTCGCATTTAAGATCGGTCTAATGTCCAACCAGGTCAATCAGCTGACATATCTTCTAGTTCCGTTCAATTAAATTGTGATAGACGTTTCGAATTAATCACCTCGTTTACTGTATGTTTTTTTCACGTCGATACCGGAAATATACGAGACTGGGGTTGCTGAAGATTGCTGCAGGTGATTTCGGCTACTTGCGAGTATCAAGGCTTTATCTAAGATACATTTTTAGCCTCATTTGCCTTGTCCGTATCGTAATGTTGACCATGGATAATCGAATAGCAGTGAGCTGATGGGGTCTTCTTGAGTGAAAAGTAGTATATCTACCCTTCTCTCGCTCTGCGTTGATACCCGCCTATAGCACTACCTTAGGATTATGGCCGGAATCGTCTGTACCTTTGGAAGTCACTGCTAAGCATGTGACTGTTTCAAGCCATTAAAATACTGCCCTTTCTGCTCTTTTACGTCTCACAACTTCTATGGAAACATCTGTTTTCCGAATGCCGTTTTAAGAGATTTCGTTAACTATGATTTGACACAACTCATTGCTACATAGCAATCAGAATGAAAGCGATCTGTAGTCGACCGGTACAGAGGTTGCCTGATCATAAAGAATCCGTTTGTACAAATGAGCAATTAAATAATCAGTCAATTAAATAATTATTATTGCTTAAATTACCTCAATCTACTTACACATACCAGCTACTTCCTGGTCTGCGTAGCCGCGTTTTGTGTGCTCACCTATCTGTCTACCACGTCCCATCGCTTTTGTAGACGGCTTCTCTTGCTTGACTACCTGCAATTTTCTCGTCTAATTTGCCGAATGCTTTGTCGTTCTTTTCTCTGATGTTGCCTTTTCTACCAATACAACTCCGTTCAGTTATAGAACTATTTACTCTCAAAATAAAAAAAACATTTTAAATTTTTGCGAAAAAAATATTGTCAGATATTTTTATTAATCGTAAAAATTTTAGATATATTTATTCACTTTTAAGAGTTTCGGTTAATGTTTTTAAGAAGAGTAAGAATAATTTTTTTGTTTATTAAGTTAGGCCAACCTCGGTGCCATCATTCGGCCTTTTTGCAAACGTACTGCAAACCAGGCCGTTGAGGCCGCGCTCACTGCGTGTCTGAGCTTTCGTTCAGTGCTCCGGCCATACGCCAGCTTCGGAACCGCTTCCTACTGTGGGTTCATATCGGCGAAGATGCCTTACCCATTCTGTGTGTTGTAGCTGGGAAGGTTCCTATGCAATACCAAAAACTGGGTGATGTGGTAGCTAAATTACGTCCGGGCCTGTTGAGCCACCTATGAGTCTGGCATTCCTAAAGCGCAGGCTCAGCGATGGACATCGCTGAGTTTGCATTTCTTTTTATTTGGCTCATAAATGTTTGGCATTGTCCTAGCAAGTTTCCTTTTCACCTCAATAGTTCTTGCCACACGTTGTTGGATGCAGGAGGATGCCCTTTACTCGTGAGTCGAGGTATACAACCACGTATTTTGCTATTTCAATCTCTTCGACATTAAAGAAAGGACTAACTAACTTGATTTTTTCTTTCCAACAAGTAAGTCTTTCCCTGTCAGTCAGGGCTAGAGTCGGGTCGTTTTCCGTTCAGTAACTTACGTCAAAATTTAATTGGTTCCACTGGTTTAAGTGTACGATTCTGGTCTTGACTGCTAAGCCATCTACGTATGCAAGCAAGTCTACTTCTTGCGGGAGGTCAACTAGCTTAAAGATATCGTCGTAAGTAAGATACCATAGTAACGGGCCTAAGGGAGGACCCTTGGCGACGCCACTATCATTCAACCTGCGCAGTCTGATTTGAAGATATCGAAAGATAGCCCTGAGTAAATACAGCGGCATTTTCTTTCTTTGAATTGATTCCAAAACGTTCTTCTGTAGCAATCCTTCAGAAGCGTTTTTGACGTGGACTGCAACAGCCAAAAAAACGTTTGCAGCTCTTTCTGTGGCGCCTTTGACAGCCTCCATCTTTACAACATTATGCGGTTTGTGGCGGCCGGTGCTTTCGAAAAAGATAAGACCTTGTTCCTCAAGCAGTTTTATCCTCGCTCTTCTATGACGAATTATTTCTATTGGCTAGAGCCCCAGGGAACAAATAGATATGAAAGTCTCTTCACTTAAGGGGAAGTGCTACTTTCACTCCTTTCGCCACTCTCAGAGAATTCTCCTTTTTCAAAACCATCATAGACAATCCAGCTCCTGTGTGTGGCGTCCTGTGTGTGGCGTAAACTGCTACACTACGGGAAAACGTTTGGTGACTGTAGTAAAGCTGCAGGACTTTTCACAGGCGCGGACTGGATGTAGCAGGCGCGTGGTTGCCGTGAGTTGCTAAAATAATTTAATTCGTGGTTACTGCAAATATCCAACATGAGGTAAATGAATATTTAATTAGATACTATTTCACTTGAGCAAAGTCTTATGAACGCAACGTTTGATTTATATAACGTTTTTTTGGGAGAATACGCTAGCTTGATGATTAGATTTACCGATTCCAAAATCAGGACATACCGGCACACGAATGAAATCCATAGAATTTGTCTAGTATCTTGCGCCAATTACAATTGAACATAGAAGCATGGCGTTCTCATAGACCATCCTATTTGGCCTTTGTTATGCAGGTATATTTACAGTCTATGCAAAATCCACTTCTTCATGGTAATGGTAGAGCTGGTTACAAAACATTTTCGTAATGGCAAGTCAATGCTATTTATGGTTTATAAACATTTGTACCCTTACGTTTGGCTGGCTAATGTGCATCTCTTGAACTGCCTTTCCATGGTAAGCATGACACAAATAAGCATGTATCTATCAGGTTTAAACTTCAGGGTTCGCAAAACTAATTACTGTAGAGGATTAAGGGATACCCCTAGATGAATTCAGAAAGACCCGTTTCAGGTAGATCCCTAGTGGGGGCAAGCCCGCTATGCTATACCGAAGTGTTGATTCTGAGGACTGGTCCATATCGAGCGACTAAACGAAGACTATGAAAAAAGCATTAGGTAAACCCATAAATTTGACCTAATTTTTTCATCTATAAATAATCATCGAAGGATACGTTAATTCTAACTTTTAGCTATGTTTACCCAACGTTTTGACAAGTTCATAACGCTTCGGCACAGAGAAACGGTACCCATGCTGTCGACGTATTGGCCTATATAGGTTGAAGAAATAGCTCATGGTCAACCGGAGCGGAGCTGGTGTTAAGGGATGAGTGAGGCAGAATATCCTAGCCAAAAATCTAGTATTTTCTTGAAGGGCAGAAGATGTGTGTGGAAAAAAATCACGACAGATCTATCGCATACGTGTTCAATGCCTGTGTCGCCCTTCGTCGCCTTTTGAGGACTCTTTCAGTCAGGAGGAAGCAGAAAGCACTATTCAAAGTGCATTAAATTCAAAAACAGCACGACCTCACTCAGGTAAATGGCGAAAGCACGGTAATGGGGAATGCTATCCACGACGTTTTTCATCGGTACTTTTTCAAGTCTGTAATGCCGGCCACGATCATACATAAAAGAGCCGCTTTATTCTAGATTTGAAGATCCGATTGGCTTCATACTCGAACGAACGCTCGATTAGCCGCCACCGTTACATATTAAACGTAGGCTCCATTCTGTCACCCTGTGCAAGCTTCTGAAGATCCGGTTTGGGAATCTTTTCTGCCGCGTTTGAGGTTTATATAGGGTTATTATTTCGTTCGTTTAATTTTGAGGTGGTAACCTGAACTTAAAAAGCAAATGCTTGTGAAGTATAGAGTCGTATCGAACGAATTGTTTGTCACGAGCCAATGTATGCAGACATTCTTCAGGTGTCTGGCTATTTTGATCAACGCCTAATTGTTAGCAAACGAAAAAGTTCGGACATCATTTGATGCCGAATTTACAAAATTCAGAACTAAACGTGTTTCTTATTTTACTACTGTTTATTCGCAGTTTACTGACTCGAAATGGCTCCCCAATGGAAACGTAGTGTTTTTCCCGTGCGTATATCGAAACAATCACTACAAAATCCTTGTAATCGGAGTCGAGGCAATGGTTCTCAATCAGTTAGGTCAGCGTTCAGTGAGAGAACATGCCTTAAAATTACATCGGCGAACACTCCATCAACATCTGAGAGGTCCTATATACTTGAAGCAAGATCAGTTTACCCACCCATTGTAATGCGTCCGGCGTACATTGATCTGCGCTATCATAAATAGGTTTCTGATGAACACAGAAGCTACGTTCGCAGATATCGCTTAAGAATCAGCTCTTTTGCTCACAAACATATAATATTTTTAACGTACGTAAAATCAAGCAAGAGGCAAATTGTCGTGCTATACGTATCGTAAACAAAAAAAATATTGTTATGCATATCACATCTCGGGGTCGTGGCTGCGAAGTGCATCCACACGCCTCAGTCGTGTCGAGTTATTTCACTGTGTAAAATCCTTGCACGAACCATCAAGATACTTGTGGGCGTTAGCAATAAAAAAGCACCCAAAACGATTTACTAGGTAATGCAGGACCTTTTCAGGATTTAAGAGGATGTGCACAGCATAAAACTCAACGAGTAGAGACGTAGAAAAACATTTTCATACAGGCAGCGTTTTTCGATTTATTTTTCGCCAGCAGAAGCTGCACATCTATTGAAAGTTACTTGTCGATCTTATTTATATACGTTTGCTGCCTATTCATGCTTGGGTCAATTAACTGCGCTAAACTATAGTAGGTTATTTTAAATATACCCCCATAGACAACGGAAGCAAAAATGCCGGCTTCAAATAATCGTTACTAGCTAGAACACAGAACTATACAGCGTGGAAGTACAAGGCTAAGTGTCATGGCTTCCATTTTCTCTCCACTCTGCCAGATGTACTTCACTGAGCCTATTAGCACTTCAGCGCGGATGGCCACCAACAAAATCTAATGATTTATCTTCGGTTTCGTATGAGTCCGTCGAATATGTAGTGAAAAAAAGCATTTATTAGTCGATCGACAATTTTTACCAATTGTTCGCTTACCTCAAAATGGTCGGAGTAATTTAAAAAAAAATTATAAAGTGCCAGACGCATAATGTCTTATGGGGGCGAGCAGGTGAAGCCGATGTTGCAGGAAGCGTTGGTTACAATGAGCAATGTAACATAATATGGCGAGCAAGTGGGCCGCTGTAAGTATAATCAGCAATAGAATTCCTGTTTTGCTCAGATATTCTGTTTACGTTTAAATTATGACTGAACATTCAAGTTTACTTGTAGAATGATCGGACAGTAAATCCATTAGATCTACGTATTGCCTAGTATCAGACGTTTAATCACTTATCGCTGATAAGAACTGATTAGGCGAGCTGTCTGCTTTATGAGAGATGTATAGGTATAACCGGTTTGTCTGTCGTATAAAAAGCACAATCGGATCGACTAAGTACTGACTACCTAATCAGTGGCGATTAATACTGCAACGTTAACTAACTTACCTTAGTCATAAAGTAAATCCGCACGGAAGTTTTGCATTTGCTCTAGATTCGACGCTTTTGTAACCGTAAATCGCTCTGTTTTTTTTTTAATCAAAAATGTACAGCCCGTTTGAGAATACAGAGAAAATTACACCACACAAAAGATGCAACGGCAACGGTGACTACACGGAAATGTGGTGGAACCAAAAAAAAATTCAGACACTGTATAGGCGGCCAAAAACAGCATGAAACCTGTAAAAATAAGAGAGGATGTTATTAATATCGGCTAATTATGTAGATAGAGCCTTTACATTGAAAACATATTTTATTCAAAGCGTAATAATAAAAGGAATAATGGGCCGATCAAAAAAATGATTTTGTAATAGAAATATATATATATATCTCGGTTCCCATAGTTCTGCGTTCTTCTTTGAAATAAACGTCCGCTACGAAACTAGCGAATCAAGTAAAAGATAGAAACAACATTTGATGTCTACTAGTAATTGTTTTCGTAGTTTTTTTTACTTCTTATCTTAACGAGCTTTAGTTGAGACCATTGCGCCTGAACTAATCGCAATGTGCAATGTAAATATTCCTAATTGCCCAGGCCGCTTTCACGCCTCGGTGAGAGACGAAGTGCCTAAACAAAAGTATACGCGTTTGTTCTCCTGAACATCCATCCGTTCCAGATCCGAAGTCTCAACTTAAATGACTTTTACCGCGCCATACCAGATCACAGTAGAACAGGTTTACAAACAAGAAAAGGTACTCTGATATAACTTACAACAGAAAAAAAAATTCATGACTAATAAAGAGCCAAGCTGAACGAAAAAAGGTCTGAACGAGTATTTTCATCCATGAAAATACCTTTCGATACATTTGGCGATCTGGCGAAAGATCCTTACACTCACAAAATCAAATAGCAGTTTCAATAAGCTTACTTTATACGTCGGCCAAAATTTCTGCCGCAGCTCAGCGAAGATATCTTCCTTCTTCTCCATAACGGACATCGCTAAAACAGAATCGATCTATATGAGCCGTAAATCCTTACCGATTTCTAGTGGTTTTTTAGATGGGCAATAACATAGCTTGTGTTCGACGTGCCTTCCTTAAATGCACACATATACAGTAACATATAACCGAAAAAAATACGTACTTGGCATTGGAACTACTTTTAAGTTTGGTATTACGCTATCTATCAGATGCTAGATAACCAGTATACGCGTCTCAATAACTTACATATGTAAAACACAACCGTACAACTGGTGCTTGATATAAGTTGGTCCGTAGCGGCTTTCCTTATGACAACAGGAAATGTAGTTCCTACAAATCGTGAATCTAGCCAACGGAACCAGTAGAATAAACCAGGACCAGCCAGGATCATGGAATACACTGCGTATCTGTAGCAGAAATTCAGTAGAGAACTATTATCATATGTCATTCTCTCAATAAACCGAAAAATAATTTCACAACTATTGCAGAAAATACCCATCTAGATTTACCATACTAAGCATCAGAAGTGACATTTATTTTGAGCAATAGAAATAGTGATAAAAATCGCTTCAGACTGTCAGAGAATTGCTACTGGCAGCATCGTACGAACGCTAAGAAAATCAGTTGGCGATCTGGATAAAAATATGTAGGATTATATCAGACTACACAGAATAATTACTGAATGAACTTTTCAATTTACGCATAAAACGACGAGATCTAGGAGACAGCGTACGAGTATCGCAAAAGGAAGCTATCATACTCAACCTGAACAATATCTTCCATTCTATGTTTGCCGTACACATAATATTGTATATAATGGTCTGCTTAAAGTTAATACTTCTCGGACCATTGTTATTATTATCATAATATCTTTGGTTTGATTTCTATCAGTAGGTTTAGGAAAAAGACGTAATGGTACATAGATTGTTCTTCATAATAGCGACACAATATTTCCGCAAAAAAGCCTTACAAAAAGCCCTTTTTGTAAGGCTTTTTTTTTCTTGAGCTTTGCTAGTTAAACACATGACAAGCTGACGAAAGTGAATATTGATTGAAATCCTAACTAACTGAGTAAAAATGTAGTTTTGCCGAGTAAAAGACTTCTTTTGCCGATACCCCCCCAATATACAGAACCGTTTCTAAATCCGAAACATTATAGTCTGATACTTAGAATAAACAAGCATTTACTCGTTAGATGCAGTAGTGCCGGGGACTTCGAGCCAGAAAGTCCTAACCTAACGTGCATACGGATGCGGCCCTGTATTTGCGAATTTATTTATAAAATCAATTATTGTTGCATTATTATAAATCAGCAGCAGCAGCATCTCGCGTAGGTTTGCCTCCAAATAATTTTTTGCCTAAATCCCACCTTAGTCAGGATTAGACAAGCCTACTAGGTGAACCTGTAGTTGATTTTCTTAAGGTTACTTCGGTCTACAAAGTCAGTAAGTTTAGATAGTATTCTAACTCCTAACGGGATGCTGTTATAAACAGAATACTAAGATATGTATGTAATAACACTGATAGGAACCAACCTTCCGAGAAGAATCCAGTCATAGGGCTTGCCTTTCATGTCACCGTCCCATCTTCTGATGATGGTCTGCTGGGTAAATTCAGCTCCGACCGAAAGGGCTCCATACGCAGCAACGTTGGCCGCGAGCGGATGTCGTGCAAAAAACAATCTGACTATTTGATATCTCAAAACCATCTGTAAAGATTTTTACAGAGATAAATTCGTTTAGACAAGTTAAACTTACAAACCACTTTCCTGCTTTGTTAGATCGCAAAAAAGGTATTACCAAACGTATAACACGTGGGTAAATAAAATTATACAGAGTTTTTTTTACATGCCAACATTGCACACCGTTCATAAGTGTCACAATGGCGTGTAGCCATGTCGTTTTTTACAACGGAACTTAGTCACTGAACGTTACAAAAAAAAAACACAGCAATAAGCATGTTTACAGCAACGTCCGTTCAAACAGGGCAGCGAGGCAGCCCATTACTGGGCCAGTTAGGCTTAACGTCTATACGCATTTTAAAGCAACTGACAGTGTCGGACCATTTCTCTAAATCTCTAAATTTTTCTTTACTTAGCAAAGCTACCGATCGGACGAGAGGTACGAAAGAATTATGCAAGGGTCCAAACTGACATGTTAAGTAACAATTTAATCCAAATCAATGTTATTAACTTTTCCATGTTCCATAAAATTTGCTGCTATTGCGAAATAAGCGTTTCGAAGATTATTCGTACAGAATCTTGTGAAGATCTTGACCTCTCTGTTTGCAATAGGTGCTTCCTGAGTGGTTGCATGAGTATGATCAATAGCAATAAACAATCGAACTAAAAAAGCTAAAACTATCTAAAAAAGATTAATCATATACGTTCAATTAACGACTAAAGTTCAACATAATTTTCCACCTTTGATTATCATACTTAAAATCCTCTCCGACAATTCATAGGCATTTTCCAGTTGCTGACAAACGGTGTTCCGCGTTCTTCCGCGCAAGCCCAAGTTCAGTTTTAGGTATTGTTTACATTTGTCCTTCCCTCCTTTTACTCTCTCAAAACCCATCAATGTTATTATAGGCTTTCTGTTGAATAACATCATCAATGTCAACTTCTAGTCCTGGAGTCCTTCTCGGTTGCCATTGGGGAGGGTCCAACAAGCCAAAGGTCGAATGAGAAATTGTCTTCCCTCACGACTTCTTTTTCTCGGTATATCAACGGTAAGAACTTCACTTGGAGGTATAGTAGGCCTTTTTTTTTACCTTAGTTCGGTTAAGACCTCTCGATAACCGCCTAGACCAGCATACCTGATGAAGACAAAGGTACCCCCTTGAAAGCCACTAAGGACGAACGAGCGTAATATGTAGTCCACCTAACACATTCACCCTCCTTTGGCACTCGTACCTCAATGCAGTGTTCACAAAATGGTAATAGATAGGTTCGCCCTTTCCCGCGCTTTTGTAGGGGCAGTTAGAGGAGGAAATCCAAATGTGGAGTTAGGTCGTGATAAGGTTCGAAGTTCAGAGGCAAAAGGTGAGAAGTACGAGTAAGCAGCTTCGAACACTGCGCAAGTGCAAGAATTGAACGGGTATATAGATACTAATTTTGGCAGTATGCTCGTTAGCACATCCGTTATTTTGGGATCGTTTAGCTGCAGCAAGTGGGTCAAGACATGCTGGCCAATATATTGATTTTAATACACAACCACCTTGCCACTTGCTTCGCAAATGTTACAAAATATTTAAATCTACTTCTCTCTAATTTGATCCAGACAAACCGAGTAATAAAAAAAAAACATCGATAACGGGGGTTTATGACATTATTGATAACTGTAGAATTTAGTCCTAAGTAATTTTTTGAGACTCCAAAGTGCGTTACCATTTTAACTTAGGGTCATTGCGATAATAGAGTGTGATTTAGACCTGCTATGAGTTTGCTTCCTTATATGCTACCTATTGGTAACACGTAATAAAAATAAACGAAGTTTAGTACGGCGCGTCCGAAACGATACAGAAATTACCGTATCAGTACCCAAAATTGATTTCAATTCAATTAACGCTTTCACACGATTGGTAGTTGGCTTTAATTGCTTATATCATAACTTCAATAAATATGGTATCGATAGGTTATCCCTATTCAGTATTTCTGAATGGAGAAGCTGCATATTACAGCAGTCGCTTGGGAGCCCTCAGGGGTCAAACTATCGATTTTGTCGTTTATTTACACGTATTCAAAGGACGACCCTGACATAAAATGTGTCGAATATATATATATATATGTGTTACATTTTCTCTTGCATTCAATGTCAAGGTTCGCCAAAACGAATGATACGGTAAATAAATGTAGTACACACGTTAAGGTACGGGACAGTTGGCTTTTCCACATTAGATGTACATGTATGGTGTCTTTCCATATGCGCTGCTTTGAATTTATGGTTGCAGATATAATAGCATGCCTGAGTAGATGGTCCACTTATAATCGGCTTCATAGCTAGACGATCTAATTAAGTTCGAAGCTAGTCCTAAGGCAGAAGAACAGAGCATGGGCTTTGTTCGCCGCTCACGATATTGCTCTCAATAAACGATGTAAACAAACTACTTAAAAAAAAACAATAAAGTATCCTATAACATCACAATGTGCGGTATTTTTGTAAGCCTTTGAGCTACCGTTAAGTACCAAACTGTATACAACGCTTCTAGCCAGTCTATTTAGCTGTGAAACACAATATGGACCTATTGACCAATGGTTTTTCAGTTAAATATAATTCAACGTAGCTGTGACTTAGAAAATGGCTAAGGCACGGAGCCTTGAAACTCATGGCCTCGACGAGGAATATATGCATACGTGATAAACGCGCTATACGCGTGGTAATCCTTCTCGTTCATAGACCATTTGTGTGATTTCGTATAACTGCGATGTGGTACAGACAGACGAATACCCTTTTCTGTTCCCATACAGTTCGTTCTGTGAGTGACCTTTCGATTATTCCTCCGCCCTTCCTTTACCGGAAGGGCGACTGAAACGCTGCAAACCAGCTTCGAAATAGATGCCTGTAGCAGATCAATACACTAACAACAAGCTCACTGCCCCTCTACAACGACTGCTATGCCTATAAATGTTGACAATTTAATTCGGGCTTGGATTAGGGCGCCCACAGCCGACATAACTATTCGGTTCCAGAGATCCGGGTATGTTTACAAAAGACAGCTGAAAGGCTCTATTATATCCGCCAAGCGAAGAAGGTATGATTGCTTGAGCATGTGACAAGTATGGAACGAGATGACGAAGAGCAATACAGCTCAGTACGCAAATCACTCAGATATACAAATTAAGGGCACATGGGACCAAGAAAGCCGGTCAGAGTGTTGGTTACCACGATCAGATAAATTAGAACGCCTCTCTATTACTTAAGAAGTAATAGATTTGAATATGCCATTATGCAAACTATTAGAATCTCTCCAATGTAAATTCCTATTGTATTAAAGCGAAAGTGAAAGAATACATGGGACATTGTAATGGCTTCACTTTCCAGTATATAGGCAGTATCTATAAACATAAGCTAAACAATCTAGCACGCCGAACCAACCGCAAATATTTAAGGTCGATATTTTCGAAATTATACATAAGCTCTTTGGTAAAGTCTATACTAACCTTCCTTATTTGGTGTTCGACGATTTCCAACGCACTAACTGATCAGCTGTCAATGGGAAAACCAAACACTTCTTGCCCCTCGAGGACCGTAACGCCAACTCGACATCGGACCGACCATTGGGTGTTTTTTTCCTGGCCCTGTTTAGGTGATTCGATGGGCTGATCGTAATATAAAGTTAACGGTGGCTGGCACAACGTCAGGTGAATGATAAACGCTTTTTGTCTGCATTATATTTCTTAGTGGAACCTAAGTGTGTTATCAGTCATTTAATCGCTTACAGCTTTACTTCGTCCGAAAGAATGCAGTTTTAGGCGCCGTTGAAGAGATATAATTCAGCTAAGATTTTAGCCTTCGGTAGAGACACGTAGTCGTGCTAGTCCGGGTAACTGCTACGAGATTTCGCTTTTTTTGAAGTATCGCCTAAGATCGTGATTTCAATCGATCTGTTTCATTCTGTTGTTAGATTAAATTTGGTCGCCGAACGAGTGGTTAAATAAAGGGTTGGGTCGAGCAATCCTTATGGGTTGGACCTTTAATCTGGGTCAACTGGGATGGGCGAGGACCGTGGGCCTACTAAAGGACTTACTGGTTGTGGAAAGGGCTTTACCATCACCGCCACTGCTACTGCTGCTGCTGTTTTTGGAGACAGTAAAAGCAGATAAAGCAGCATCGGTGGCGGCGGCGGCGGCGGCGGCGGCGGCAGCAGCAGCAGCTAACTACTACACTCTACGAAAGGTAGAGCGCAGACCCAGATATACGCATATATAAATATACTGACGGCATCGACACCCTCAGTAATAACGATTTACCATCTTTTCACGTGTTCTCTCTGACCGTTCAACCCCATAGAGTAAGGTATGGTTTAAAATGGAAATGCAGGCCCAAAATAGTTAAATAATAATAAACTGAGCTAAGTATACAGAATTTACTTACAAAGTACATTTTCAATACTGCGCCAACATGATGCCTTATACACGATCTTACATCACTGTTCGGCATTGGCGAGAATTGAGCATCGTTTTTACTAGCTTACATTTGTACGTGTAGATGCTTATGACACAATTTACAAATTTGAAAATAGGCACTGCTAAGGCTCTACAATTAATGCCGATTCCTAGATCTAACTTCGAACCCCCCTGGAACACGTTATTGTCGCCTGTGTGTTTCTGTTTCAAATCAAAAGTAAAGTAAATTCTGTTAATAGTAGTAGTCATTGTCCCTTAGATTCAAATCTGCTGCGATTAGTATGCATGGCCTTTACGGCATCCAATGAGCGACGTTAATATTATGAGACCCATTTATATCATTCGAACCTGTTCGTGAACTTACCCCAAACGCTGTACTAGAGAAACTTACGTGGTCCAACTCCTCATATTAGATAAATGCCGTTGTTCAAAACTAACAAATTGTGTGAACATCTCATTCTGCCTAATAGCTACTGCTAGCTTTATCAATGAAGAAATTCTATGTCGCTAACAAAGCTCGGGCCGAAAAAAAAGCGCGTGTCCCTTTACGGGAGCGTTGCTTTGCTTATCATTTTTAGTTAAATTTACGATACCTTTCTATCGGCGCGAATTTGATAGCACTCCGTATATTGTGTTTAACGTTGTTAATATTTTTTTTTCTCGATTTAACTTATAAGTTCCGCGACACAGCAATGAGTTTCCCCCTTTATGATTCGTCCGCCTCTTGAATCACTAGGAGATCGATGAAGCACAAGCATGACGAAGTTGCAATAGTGATGAACTAATTCAGCCTGGATAACGCTGTATAATTGGCTAGGTATTTGATAGGACCGAATAGGCAGAACGTTATCGAAATTAAACTAATCATATCACCTTCTGCTGTTTATAATTTACTATTCAAATATTTCACAGGTTGTATGCCGGTTTCTTTGAGACACCCAGTGTAGGGACCAAGCCCATTTAGTACATATAGACCAATGGTAAATGAAGCAAATCCTTTTCGTCGACATACCTATTGTGTAACGCCTGCCAACAGATATATATATATATATATATATATATATATATATATATATATATAGGTATATATATATATGTGTATGTAATGTCTGAAAACGTCGCTAAGATTGTACGGTATTATCTGATGCACAAACGTGCAACGGTCCTGTCAGCTGCTCGTATCTACTAATGGCTGTATCACTTTGCGATTGACTTCCTGGCGCCTGATTGCTGTAGCATGTAGAATGACAAACATTGGTCAACCATTCCAAGATGGTTGACCAGTTTCTATATGAATCACGTGAGAACGTGATTTATTAACGTAATTCGTAGGTTACAGGACCGTTCATTCTTATATCGGAGAAATGTATACTTTCTTATATTTAGTTGTCATGTTATAATACTTTTTTTTGTAATGTATTTTTCTGCCTTTGATGGTAGCTTGATCGTTGTGACGAAATCGATTTTAAATAGTGAAGTACTTTTTTTGTTATTAATGAGCTATTAATATACTTCATAGAACGCAGTCTATTTCTTGACACTCCACCAGTTACGGTCGAGGTTTCAGATCATTACAGCGTATGCACGTAATAAATTACATCTAGGACGCCTAGAATCTCAGCCGAAGTACTATACATTTATACGATAAAGGCTTCTCTGCGCTATTGAAAAGAATACATTGAGAAAAGCTTACCACCAGAATAACTCCGGACCATTGCTATGTGAAACAGAGAGCGAGATCTGGCAAAACCTGACGATAAGCAGCCAAGTGAACAAATCACTGAGCTATTCTGCATCGCTTACGGAAAACGTCCGCACGGCGGCCAATGATCAGTGCCAGAATTGCAGGACACTGTTGGTGCATCGAGGGGTACCTGAGTAATTCTTTTTGCATGCGGACACACTTTGGCCTGGGCATCTTTTGTCCAGGTTTCATATGTCACCTTCTTTCCCACCTCCGTTGACCAAGTATGCCGTCATTACGCTACGATTCTACATCTTAGAGCTACGTTTTAGAGCATGTTTTTGATATACTGCCTGGCCGTTGCTTCGTCCAAACCCTAATAAGATAATAAACGAGATACAGCTAGGGTTGTTTCTATATCCATCTATTTTTCCTAGCACGCCCAGAAGAACGATCGTATGCCGTATCTCTTAAGATACAGATTCACTTGTCCATTATCGATCAACGCAATTGTACACGCAAACAAGCACTGCCAAGCCGCTTGCAATGTTCTAGATGTGTACGTCACAGAACGATTTTTTGATCTTCAAGGACAACAAACTCTCCTATGGTCATTTGCGTTCGTCATTCCAACTCCCGTCTAAGTAGCCGGTGTGGCTATGTACATATTTGCGAACACCATTTGGCCTCATCAACATTTTCGTAGACGAGGCCATAATTACGGTCGGACTGGAATAAATCTACAGAACAAATTATTGCGACAGTGATAGAGCTAAAACGCATCGCCATCGCCAGCTTGATTTGTACCGACGAGTACTGTTTTTCGCTTGTACGTTCCGTGTGGGTCTGCTTGCTGTAAGTTCGAAAATAACTAACTACTACTGCGACATTCTTGTAAATGTTCGTTTTCACATAATCAGAAAGCAAAGCGATTTTTAGCACATTTGGCAAAATATTCAAAAAAAAAAACGTCCAAACATAAGCCTATTGGCTTGATACGTTAATGATTAATAAGTACCTACAGACTTATGGAAAGCATAGCAAAGTTAAAGGCTCTCCAAATGGTGGAGCTGCATTCGACAAGCACCAAGCTTCCAATACGTAAATCAAGTGCCTAGGAGCGAATCGATCGATAGATATGTTCCTCAGGCACCCGTAGGTTTGCGTTTTTAAAAAAAAAAATTGAAAAATGTTTTCTTATTAGAATATGTTCCAGTCAGTGGCAAGTGAGTTGTTTCGAGCAATGCCAGTTTACAGTTCATTGGGAAGGATTTATTTCTGGTTGCATGGGCAGATCAGATAGTATCGAATGCGGCCTTTTTATATCCAGCCACTACTGTAGTATTTTACTTTTTTGCACGTTGTCGATTAAAGGTATCGCAGCTAGAGGGCAGTGGGGCGCCATCTGTGGACCATCTATTCCTAATGGATTTGGCACCGTTAGGTAGGCTAGGGATAGTATAATCGACCGTTCATTGATCGTCTTATGACACTAATGCCTACATTAAAGTCAATGGGACCAATGCCACCAAGTCAGCTAAAAGGTTAGTCCAAAAAAATGCAACAAGTTTTACTACGTTTCAAAAGTAGCACTCTCTCTAAGATATGTTCGCGAAGCGCCAGTAGTGGGTCGCAAAGATATAGGGGGGGAGCTCATTGCGGAAACATGTGAGCGTTTGGTCACTAGTTGAAAACCTTCACCACATGTAGGAGACAATCCCGCCTTGTATTTTATATATATATATATCTTCCTACCATTCCAGTATATAAATATTATTCCACAGTATATTACGTAGCACTGTCACGGATATTATAGTCAATGGGCCTGCTAGTAACACACTGGCCAGTTGGCAAACCGGCTTCGCGGTTGTGCATACTGATCTAAAAATTTTGGCCCATTTCTTTTTTTTTTTTTTTTATTTATAGCTTGCCGCAAGTTAAGTTCGGGTTCGATTCATAATCAGGGAAAATGGGCGTATTTTTCCATTCGGAGCATGGACGGTGTTATATATCGAAAGTATGACATGGATAGCTCAGATCATCATATTGACGATTGGTTTGGCAATCCTTACTTGATGCAGGCTCACCCGAATATGCATAAAATGTACAGGTGAAATCATGGTCAGAAACTGTTCCGCCAAAATTCGTTCTAAAGGCTCATCTTGGCTGATGATCCAATCATTACCCGCAAAGCGCCAGTAGAATGTCTGTAGTCAATCAGTTACGGAAACTTCTAATGTATTATGAACATCCTACCATCAAAGGTAATTTAGCGATAATAGCCGGCTCCAGGAGCGCCTTAGTTTTGTCCAGCTTTGCTGCAGTCGGATACTAACAAACTCAAAGGACACAAGCGAATCTCTAGATTTCAATGACCTAAGCCGCAATGACAAATAAAAAAAAAACCCGAGAAAATAATGCTATTTCTGCTTACGCTGTTACTTGTCCTCGAGGCTTCGATCACCTATCTTATCATATTTTTCTCATTATCAACGATTGCTACCTGCATATGACAGGATGTTGTGCATCACGTACGTCAGACGACACTTTTTAGTCATTGCCCTTCAATTTTACCAAAGTTTAGTGAAGAGGAAAAGATATTTCCGATAATACATATATATATTTGCAGTATCTTCGTTGGTAGTAATTGGGATACAGGCTGTCCTCGTGCGATTAGCGTCTCATCGAAACGGAAGACTAGCTCAATACACTGTGGATATTCTAGGTAGCATTTTTCGGAATAAACAATAGCTATGCTTTAGGTACAAGTTAGAACAAGTCGAGCCTTTCGTTTAGAATCCAATGCTGAGGCATCGACGTCCTGCATTGCGTTTTTCATAGCCGCTGACGTTTATTTGCACCCTTGATGGCAACGGTCTGTCTTTGACTAGCTGTCCATCGTACTGTACCATATATTGGAAAACAAGTTGAAGTGAACAATCCAGTGGTAATAAAATTTTCGAAAGAACGTGACCTAGGAAAAATCAAGTACTCGATTATTTCCGTACGATCATGGTGCCCATTTAACAAATGCGGTGCAAGTTTTTATTGATAATTAAACATCTAGAAAAAGCGCCGAGGAAACAAGAACACAAAACTGCTACGTTAATCAACGGTACAGACATGTGCTAAGGTCTTAGCTATGCGTTAAGGTTGAGCCGCATCTCGGAGAGCACCTACGATGGCGGCAAAAGAACAATCGGCAAGAGGAGATCGTATATTATGTTACGTATTGCTAGATGCTAATCCTCATCTTAGCTTCACGCATGAATTTCTTGATAATGTACGTCGTGATTTGTAATTGGGATAATCAACTGGTACCGATGACTGATAATTATATGCGATGAAGTATTTTTCATCGATTTTCGTTTCATGATAGAGACGTGTATATAGTAGGAAATCTCGCTACGGTAGAGGTCGACGCCGATCCCAGACAAGCAGTAAGCACATCAAGAGTTCTGTATCCGGCCATGCACGCCGCTACTGAACAAGCAACCCGCTATCATTGATGTCGTCAATAGGGTAATTTCAACATGTGTATAGGGTGTTATTGAGTATTACCATATCTTTGATTAAAGATGACTTGGAAGCTTTACCAAGCCATCGATACCTTGTGTTTATGCTTGCTTGAATTAACTTGCGCTTCATATATGTAGCTAAATTAAGTTCGCCATCGCTGTTAAATGGTAAAATTCAAACTAGATGAAAAACTTTAGCCGAAAGCCGTTATATAGGTCAACAACATATATGTACGGATACCTTAACAAAGCTGTTCCGTATTGTGCAACGAATAAAAGAAAAAGCGTTCTTCGAAGGCGTTCTACACACACAATATTTGTATGCACAGATACGTCATTTTCAAATTTACTGTCCCCATTGCTTGAGATCTCGGGCTGATACAATATCTTGATTGACTGGCGGATCGTATGAAGGCAACTACACATCGTAGTATCTTTTTTTCATCATATATTGTCGCCTAGACGATTAACTAGTGCACCCTCTATTGATATTAACGTACAACAAAGTTTTGTAGAGGTACCTCAAGCATGTAATCCGTATATTGCAAACTAAGGTTTGCTACAGACGATTTCTCGAATATATATATATATATATATATGTACTGACTCCTCTGGACACCGAAGCTGTCACCAAAGATATTTGTGTACAAAGATCGACGTTACGATCCATGTATGGTTTGTTCCTTAAATATACCTAAAACTGTTTTGCCTCAGACCAATTTACACACTTACATATTTATTTATTATTTACCTTTCGCCATTGTTGTTGTCGTCGACGCCAAGCACCGTTAAGAACCCAGATCAAAGCGCGAAATCGTCTACACGCTCAGGTCTTGTTGTACTTTCATCTAGCATCCACGGGTAGGAGTTTTCTACCTTTAGTCGATAGCAACTACTCCTAGAATCAAGTAGTCCTTATGCTTATACACTATGCTACGTTAAACAAACTACAGCCCTCTAGACCTGAATCTGATCTAGCAGTGTGCTGTATTGTGCCTTTACATAGGTTTCAGACGGCCCATCTAGCGAAATGGGAGTCTACAAGAGGTTGAAGGAGCAACGCCTGGCTTCAGTTCTTCCTCAAACAATTACTCTCGCTCTGCTTATGCAGGCAAATGTGCTGCTGTGGTCAGTTCTTCAGAAGGCTTGTTTGACACCCAATGAACGCGTGGACGGCTGTTTGTAAAAAAAAACGAACCGATGAGTGAAGAAAGCTCACAAAGCGCATTTAATACGTGCTGCCGACACGTACGGATGGACATGAGTGGTTACGCAGTAAGAACAACAAACAGACAAGCCTGTTAAAAATATCACTAAATACGTTTACATATAACGGCTTCTCAACGCAGCTTTATTAAGAAGAACTAGCAGTTCGATTAGAATTGCGTTTTCACTCAAGCTCTGGCTAACAATCTTCAGTACGCTTCAGTCTTCAATGATGGACAACATAATTGTTAGTAGTATCAAGCTGCTCAATGCTATAGGGAACAATCTGCAACTATGCGGAAACGCTACCCATTGCGAATATTTGCTTCAGTACAATGTGTTATTGAACTGAAATAGAAAGTACGGGATTATTTTAATATTGATTTTTCGCTTACTTAAGCTTATAATAGTAAGACCGCCACGGGCATATTGATGTAATAATGTAAAGACAGTTTCTGGCGATGCAAAGAAGACACTCTTTTCATACCAGATTGGCCCTCAATATTGAAGTACTTTCCAAGATTCATTCCGCTATTTCATTGACGATATAGAGTTGGCTCCGATTAAAAGCTTCGTCTTATACTAGGCTTAGTCTACGCACTATTACAATGATTCCGAGTTTATTCGGAGATCGTAGCCTGCAGCTCAGACGGCGTAAACAATGCCAACAGCGACACGATGCCATCTTTCCTGAACTCGAAAGATGGCATTGTTGCCAGCTTTATCATTGACGAATGAAGTAAATGGCCAGCATTAATCGTGACTCCTGTCATTTGTCATGACGAAAAGGTGTTTTTTTTGCCGAAACAATCGTCGACAGCTAGAGTTAGGGCGGCCTGCATTGTTTTTCGTAGTGACGCTACTGCTATCGTTGTAGGTTTTCATTTGCCTCACTTTACTGTTCGCGAGTCGCTTAGCCACACGAAATAATTCAGCCGGCTGTACAACAACAACATCAGCTGAAATTGGAGCGATGGCAAAGCTGTCAGGAAAGCTTCTCCCACAACCATCAGTGAGTAACAACAGGATGGCCCGGACAAATGCGATGCTTTTGCCACGATGGTGGCAGCCACGTCTGACTCTGTAGCTGGGATTATTCGGTGTTGTACAGCAGAGCTCCGGTGCGCGATCTTGATTACATAGTCGAGATAAAAAAAAATCGTCGCACAACTGGAAATAGTAATAATAATAAGGTAAAGGTAGTAGCTGACGTCGAACTGTAGTGGTAACAGTCGCACGAGAGTAAAAGGAAGGGGAGAGGTGTGTGAAAATTGCCAAAAGCAGAAAGAGAGAATGAAGCTGATTGCTGCTGCCGCCGCCCGCTTTTGTTGTTGGATCTGCTGTTACCTTTGCCTCCACTCGTTTGCCGGGTGGCAATAGCACATACACCCCCGTCGTAGCAGGCAACTTCGCCCGTTACCATTGTCGCTAGAACCACAGCACTTCAACAGAGGACAAGTCACCGCGCGTTATCCGGCACTTACAGACGCACAGGGGCAAAATAGCACCAGGAAGATGCATGCATAGGGCCGATGGATATGTTGGCTGGCAGAAGTCTTTTACTTACGTTTTTGCTGGCAGTAAGCCTGAGCAGGCCTGTGAGCACTATCTAGAGCAACGAATACCAAAGCAGGTAACATCAAGAAAAACTTTTACCTCGGTGACGAAGGCAGAAACTCGCGAAAGAGCTTACAGTGTTACGAAACCATTTCACAAAAGGAACAAACAAAGCAAAAGCAGTACTATTGTGCGTCTCTCTGCGGGGTCAATATTTTCATCATGATGATCAAGTTTGCTTAAGAATTCATTTTGCTTAGCTACGTACGAAGAGTGTGA